ACAGCTGCAGGAATCCCCATTGCACTCATGCCAATACCAGGCTGACTGCCAAAGAATCCGCCTGTTTGAGCACCCAAAGTTCGCATTCTCTGCAGGTGAATTGTTGAAAGAATGCTAGAAATGAATGAAATGGTGTTACCTGTTGTTCCTGCAACTGCTGCATATAATAGGCCATATATTGAGCGTGAGCGGTAAGATCATTAGGTACGCCTGCGGGAGCTCCAAAGAAGCTACCAGCGGGTGCGGCGTTTGCATAGGCCTTAGAGAAAATTAGATAGAACAGTCAAGGATGTGGATTTGAACACACTCACAAGTTGTGTTGGAGTCACACGAGGCGGCTCAGCAACCCTTGGAGGCGAATGTGCTGCTGCGCTAGTGTCTTTTACCAGCAAAGTCTTGATCAAATCCATCAAACGCTCCACTTCATTTGCGTGAGTTGCCCGCAAATCGTCTACCTGCACTTGATAAATAAAACGACAAAAGGATATAGGAAAGTTGTGACTAATCGTCGTATACCTGCTTTTGAGCACGGTCATCAGTTCGCCTAAGGTCCTCTCTCAATGACTGCGTACAAGTATGCAACTCTGTCTGAAAGTAGAAGTTTAAGTCAACTTTGGTAAGACGATATCCACATGCATATCCACAAGGACAAAGCACAACCTTCAGGGCTTCCATCGAACTGACAACTGTCTGATACTGATTTACTAGGTGCTGTTGCATATCAACCACGTTGGCCACTATTCGGGCCATTACCTGAAAGAAGGGCATGTTTTTACAACAAATATATCAAGGGTTCATTAACTGCAAAAATCTCACCGGTGCGCCTGGGTTGGCAGTCGAAACCGTAGATAGAAAGCTTTCATTTGGATTCATGGCCGAGAATGATGACAATTATTTCGAAGTCAAAACCCTGGAAAAAACAAGGCTGAAAAGAGCGTATCAAGCTTAAATCAAGATTAAACACTATGAGCGAGTAAGATAATCAAAAACGGACATTAGCCGAACTATGAAGTATTAAAAGAAGAAACACATGTAATGAGAGAAGAGTATTAAACATGAGAGTACAACGAACCAAATTTGAGATGACATTACTCTGAGCGAATTATCCACTATAAAGTCACTTCGATCTCTTCATATACTTTTACTACAAGAACATAAGGCCATCTATAAAAGACCTTATTTCCAAGAATGATTTCACTCACTGACGAGATATATATGATAATGAATAATAAGATTTCGAAGTAGAAGGCCGTTAAGATTAATCAAACAAAAATACAACTCACAAAATGTTTCACATAGATACACCTCCAAAGCTGAAGAAGCTATTCCAATTTATGAAATTCGCTGTATGCTCTCGGCAAATAAGAAAGTATATGTGATTTTAGCAACAAATTGTCGTCCCAAGCTCGGAAGATAAGCGTGAGTAAAAGGAAATGGAAAATAATACTCTAACAAACTCTACTAACAAAAGAAAATGTCTTACATTCAACTTGAATGAAACTCAACAAGCTTGCTGTTGATTTTGAAAAGTCGCGCTTTTTGGCTGCTAGCCTTCATCATAAATCTCATAAATCGTCTATTTCTTTCTTTCCATCGCTGATCGCTCCTTCCGCCGTTTCGCTTATTTTGCAAGTCGCCGTTTCATAGTTACTACCTATATTTGTGGAAGTAGAATGCTTCAACATATTTAGAAGATATATAATAGATATGCTCTGCTTCCTAAGCACTTTCTATACGTAGTAGAGCATGATGATACAATATGACCATACAACACTACAGGTTACTAGTCTTTCCCCAGGTTTGCTTAGCTAACAGTGGATTTGGTAGTTTATTCGCTTTTAGAAACTGCTACTTCTGAGATGGA